TTGAAAAATTAAAAATCAAACACAAAAAATAAATACTATGATAAAAATAAGAAAAAATAAAAAGAGAGTTAAAATGAGTGAGTGTGCCAACACCTTTTCGACACCACCATCTTTGCCGAGTTTTAATTATTTTTTGGCATTGAAAAATTCCCTGAAAATTTACAGACATGTAGTCTACATAATCAATAACTCGTTAAAAAGTTTTCAAAAAATAATAAAATTGTTTAGGCTCCGAAATAAAGTTAAAACAAAAAGTTAAAAGTGAAAAAAAAAACAAAATAGCGAGTGGGCGAGCACGTTTTGACACCCCCATCTTTGACGATTTTTAATGTTTGTTTGGCTTACCAGAATGACTTCAAAATTTATTGGCATGCAGCTTTCATCATAGGGAACTCACAAAACAATATTCAGAAAAAAAAAGTTATTTTTAGGCCCCGAAATGTTTTTTGGCGGGGGCCGAACCTGGAGGTGTTCGGCCCCCGAACGCGACCGTGAACGACCGAACGTTCGGTCATGTAACCCTGTATATATATATATTCTATTTGACGATATATATATATATATATATATACAAGGTAACCGGCGTTCGGGACGGATCGAAAGTTTGAACCTGAGCGCCCGAACGTATGGGACCCCTTGGGAATGCGTTCGGCCGTTCGAGCTAAACGTGGACCAAAAACAAAAAAACAAAAAACAAAAAAAGAGTCAAAACAATCTGGAAAAAAAATGTTATGAAGAAAAATAAATAAATAAAAAATTCCCTCAGCATAACATTCAAATTCCTTACCAAATTTGAAATAAAAATAAAATACGAAAAATAAATGCTAAAAAATAAAATAAAAAACAATTAGTGAGTGCACGAGCACGTTTTCGAAACCGCCGTTTTTGGTGATTTTTTTTTTTTTTTACTGAGATAAACGCCCTGAAAATTTACAGATGTGTACCTCACGTAATTCAAAACTACTAAAAAATTTTCAAAAAATAATAAAATTGTTTAGATTCCAAACTAAAGTGAAAACATAATGTAAAAAGTGAGCAAAAACGTGGGCGAGCATGTTTTGACACCGCCATCTTTGGAGATTTGTAGTTCTTAGTTGGCGTAGCCAAATGACTTGAAAATTTATAGACGGTTACCTCACGACATAAAGAACTGATAAAAAAACAATCGATAAAAAATATATATTTTTAAGCACCGAAATATTTTTTTGCGAGAGCCGAATGCCGCCGGGTTCGAACCCCGTACGGGATCCCGAATGCTTGTACGTACGGGCTGGTGACCCTGTATATATATATATAAATTATCAATATTGAAAATTTATTCATCCTATTCATATAGAAACATATTATCATTAATAAAATAGAATAATAATAATTGAATATAAATATTATATATATAATGTATAGATAAGTATATTTAAATTATATATAGATATATAAATCTTTAGGACACTATTATAGCATATATTTGTTGAAACTTACTAGAATTAAAATATAAATTATATATATGAATGATTTAATTTAAAAACTCAATTTAAATGAGAAATCAAAATCAATAAATGAAAATATATATACATATATATATTACATATATTATATATATATATATTATATCTATATATATAGAGAGAGAGAAGAGAGAGGAAAAAAAAAAAAAAATTGAAAACCAAATTCAAAACACTTTGTGTTATTAATAACACTTTGCATTACGCCAAACCCGTCGAAGTTGTACCGTCTTACCGCAACAACCATACTTCAAATGCAACAAAATGACAGTGTCTTTTTCGATATAACGGAATGTGTCAATGTTTGTGATGATGATACATTGTTATTACGTAAGGTTTGCAGAGACCCCGAAACCATTATTGTGCTCTCAGTCGGATAGCGACCATATACAGGATATCTTGCAGACGCGTTTCTTGTACCCCAATCTCTTCACACATTGCTTGTAAATTTGCGTGCGTGCTTCGAACGCGTTCTGTAGTTGCGTGCGACCGTTTGCGAGCTATATGAAGATTGTTGACAACATCTTGTATAACAAGTTTTGCATTGTTGAAATGTTTCTTGATTGACATGCTGATACACACTCGACTTTGGATTGCGAAAATCTACCGGAGAGTAAAACTACTGCGCGAATACAACACATCATGTGACAAAGTGTTATGGATTACACAACCATAATTTTATCCTTGTTTGACTCTCCCTTTCTCTCTTTCTATCTCTTTCAATATGCACATATATATTTTATTGCTTTATAAAATGTTATATATTTACACACAGTATCATGTATGCAACTATGTATATTGTCTTATTCCTTCGAGTTATTTGAATCAGAGAAGCCAATCTACTAAAAATCAGGCGGTGTTGACGACCTATTTTTGTTGTCCTTGTGTTGCGAACATGCTTCTATGATATTATTCTGGTTTTTTCCATAACGTGTCAAGAAAACGTTTACACTCGTAAGATTTGTAGGTGGTGACGGGAGTACATGAGCGACACTATTTCCAACGCTCGGTCTTTCTTTTTGAAGGGGAACTTGGGCAGTCATAGCTGGGACGCCCGAAAACAACTTTTGTAGGAGGTCTTCCAGGTGGTGATGTCACTGCCATCACGTTGCTGTTTGTGGAAGTTGAAGAATGTTGTTGTTCATCAAGGGGCTCGACAGGCTTGTTGCTGGTTTCTGCCATACCAGGGCGGGCATCATCTTTTTCATCGAGGTTCACCTCTTCTTCACGGTGATTTGAGGCGCTGCGACTTGATATATGGCTAATGCCAGATCAGGCCGCTACTCACAAACTCGGGGCATGATGGGATGTTGTTTTCAACAGTGGGCTCATTGAAAATTGGCAGTCGTAGGAAAAAGTGAAGTTCCACTGAGAGTTCGTTGAAGTGTATTGTTGAGGGTAATTGGAGGTGGAACAAATATTGTGGTTAAGATTCTTGGAGTTGTTCGATTGAGAGGAGGAGAGTAGGGGTTGTAATAAACAACTAATTGAAACGTTTTCCTCTAAATTTTTATCTGGTTTTGGCTTCCACTGTACAATCTCTCTCCATCGCAATGGTGTGAATCTGCTCTCTTCAATCTACCTCTCGTTGCAGATGTGTATGATAACATTTGAATGTGGGTTTTGAGTTGTGAATCAATCAAACACATACTCACATTTGACACTCGGAATGGCAAAATCGCAAAATCAGCGGTCAGGTTTAGTCCTTGTAAAATGAAGTACTTGATCAGGATACTGATTTTGTGATTTTTTGACGGCCTAGCGTCTTCCTTGAACATAACGCATATGCGTTGTATTCGAGTTAAAGAAAAAAATCAGTTTTCAAAAATTTAAACCCTTTTCTTCGAATACAAGGGCAATTTGAATATAACGCATGTGCGTTCTATTCGAATAATACCTATATACGTTATATTCTAATTTTACGAAGATAAAATTGTTGTATTAGAATATAACCTTCCTCCCCCCTGCCCTCGAAGGTCAACCTCTGCTTCGTTTTTGTCGTGGTGAATGGGACAGGCTCTTGCTGGCCCGTAATCACAGATGTGTTGTATTTTGGCCTTGGGCATAGCGTCTCTCTCTCCCCCCTCTTCTGTCGGTAAGAAATTGCCCTCCCTGTCACTGACAAGCTGCTCTCTCTCTCTCTCTCTCTCTCTCTCTCTCTCTCTCTCTCTCTCTCTCTNTCTCTCTCTCTCTCTCTCTCTCTCTCTCTCCGTGCACGAAGGCACTTCTGACAGCCAAGAGTGTGGCGCGGCCAAGAAAGTGGAAAAATAAGAAAGCCACTCACCAAGGCCTCTCTGCAGCACCGTGGTCACCAAGACAAAAAAGAAAAGGGTTGTATTTGTCTACGTTCTAGCGGAAGATTCATTCTCATTTTGCACACTTGCTGAGGAGTGGAGCAAGGGCCCAAGTAGGGGAAAGGAATGAAACTCAACCCAGAACATGGAAAGGTACGTCCCTACTTTACTTTTACCTTTTTGCCAAGGCTCTCAGGCCCCCAGCCGTGGTCCAGAACTGAACCTATTCAGCCTGGACCCGACCCCCTTGTGCAGGTAAAGTTGGTCTCGTTCACTCGAACATAACGCATATGGGTTGTAAATGAATACAACGCATACCGCATTGTAAACGAATACAATGCACGGTATGCGTTGTATTCGCTTACAACGCATATGCGTTATGTTCGGGGGAAGACGGTAGTGTGAGTATACTGTCATCGAGTTTCTCTTCAGATTTGGTGCTGTGAGCATGCCCTTTTCCTTCTTTCGGACAGCCTCTAGAGCCCCTTTTTCACAACCCTCTGACAGTGTGACGGTCGAGGAAGAGGCTGAATACTTCACCCCCTCTGAGACTCTCTCTCTCTCTCTCTCTCACACACACACACACACACACACTCTACTTGCTGAATACCTCTGTCTCGATGAGACTCTCTCTCTCTCTCTCTCTCTCTCTCTCTCTCTCTCTCTCTCTCTCTCTCTCTCTCTCCCTCACACACACACACACACACACACACGCACACACACACACACACACACACACACACACACAGTCAGATGCATTCTGGGCAATCAATCATCATCAAGCAACCCAAGTTGACTTTTTTTTTTTTTTTTTTTTTGAAAAATTCTCCGATCTATTTGTGGGGAGCAAGTTGACTTTTCGACTTCCAAGTATTTGTTGAGAATTATTCACAGTCCAAATCATCAATCACCACACTCGCTCACTGACTTCTAAATAGATTCCAACAGGCTAAGTCGATACTAATTAACCATGCTGATTTCTAGTAATTTCTGATTAGAGTTGATCGACAAGTAGTGGCTCCTACGCCACTGGTGTACTTTATCCTTTTACTTTCCGTCCATTGAATATAGTTGACAGGGAGGTGGACGTACAGCTTTGAGAATATCAGATTTACCGGATCGCCGACCTGTCCTCATTACTGTCCGCAAAACGTGAGCAGTTAAAACAGGCCAGTAAGAGTCTGCGCCAGCTTTATTGCGCTTATCGCGCGGGCTTCTGGGTGATTGTTGTATGCGGTGCGAGAGCGCGCGCCGCTCGCTACCGCGCGGTCGCAGTTGGGGACACAATGCAGAGGTGTCTGCTCTCTGCCTCCCTGAGGCGCGCAAGCGCGACCTCCTTGAGAAGATGCGCGCAACGACAGAGCCTGCTTCCGTGTGTCCATGTGGCGTCGTCGTCAACGCCACGTGGCTATGCCACGGTGGCCTCGTCTGAATCCTCCCCGCCCGCCTGCTCCTCCTCCCCCTGCTCTCCTTCCTCTTCCTCATCCAGTCAATCAGCGCGTCTCTCCAGCCATCAGCCGTCGTTCGCGGAGCGCGCGAAGAATGCCAGAGGTTATGCGAGCGCGGCGGCGGCGGCGGCGGAGCCCGCGAAGGCGGCCCCCCCGCCGCCCGCGTCCGACACCATCGACGTGGAAGTTGATGGGCATCCAGTCACGGTCCCTAAGGGGGTGACAGTGCTGCAGGCGTGTGACGTGGCAGGCGTCGAGATCCCGAGGTTCTGTTACCATCAGCGGCTCTCCATAGCCGGGAACTGCCGCATGTGCCTCGTGGAGGTGGAGAAATCTCCCAAACCGGTGGCTTCTTGCGCGATGCCCGCCATGCCAGGGATGAAGATAAAGACCTCCACCCCTCTCGTCAAGAAGGCAAGGGAGGGGGTGATGGAGTTTCTCCTCCTTAATCACCCCCTAGATTGCCCTATCTGCGATCAAGGCGGCGAGTGCGACCTGCAAGACCAGGCGATGGTGTACGGAAGCGACAGGGGGCGCTTCACGGGGTACAAGAGGTCCGTGGAGGACAAGAACTTCGGGCCCTTGGTGAAGACGGTGATGACCCGATGCATCCACTGCACGAGGTGCGTGCGCTACGCGACGGAGGTCGCGGGAGTGCAGGATCTAGGCGTCACCGGTCGCGGTCGGGACTCGGAGATCGGGACCTATATCGAACGGATGCTGACGAGTGAGGTGTCTGGGAACGTGATTGATCTTTGCCCCGTTGGCGCGCTCACGTCGAAGCCTTTCGCCTTCACGGCGCGCAATTGGGAATTGAAGAGCACCGAATCCATCGATGTCACCGACAGCATCGGAGCAAGCATCCGAGTTGATACCCGAGGATCGGAGGTCATGCGCATTCTGCCTCGCCTCAACGAGGAGGTTAACGAGGAATGGATCACGGACAAGGCACGGTTTTCTTACGACGGTCTGAGGCGCCAGAGGTTGATTGTCCCGATGGTAAGGTCGCATGACGGCCTTCTGGAGCCATCGAACTGGCCAGATGCGTTTAATGCCATCGCAGCGGCTTTGCACGGTGTATCTGGCGGCGAGATGAAGGCCGTGGCGGGAAAGCTGGCCGATGCTGAATCGATGATTGCCTTGAAGGACTTGATGAACAGGCTAGGGTGCACGAATCATGTATCTGAGGGAGAGGCCGTGGATGCGGATATCAGGTCGCAGTACCTGTTCAATTCTAGGCTCAGTGGGGTTGAGGAGGCGGATGTCTGCCTCCTGGTGGGAACGGACTTGAGGTCCGAAGCCCCACTGCTTAACTTGAGATTGAGGAAGGCTGTAATCAGTGGAAGATTGAAGGTGGCAAGCATTGGTCCGGCTCAAGATCTGACCTATGCACACGAGCACCTTGGAACTGGGGCCAGCGCATTGAGGGATTTGGCAGAGGGTAATCACGAGTACCTTTCAGTGCTGAAGGGTGCGTCCCGACCTATCGTTATTGTTGGTGCTGGATTGATGCGCCGCCCAGACAAGGAGAGTCTGTTGGTTGCCGTCCAGCGAATCACTGAGCAGGCAAGGATTGTCCGAGACGGGTGGAATGGATACAACATGCTTCATCTCTCGGCGGGCCGCGTGGCAGCTCTTGACATAGGTTTTGTGCCAGGACCACAAGCTGCAGAGAACAAGACACCAGCAGCGAAGTTTGTCTACCTGTTGGGTGCCGATGATATCGAGGCGGGGGATATTGCAAAAGAGGCATTTGTTGTTTACCAGGGTCATCATGGCGACAAGGGGGCAAGCATGGCCAATGTTGTCCTTCCAGGAGCTGCCTACACTGAGAAGGAAGGCACCTATGTCAACACGGAGGGACGAGTGCAAATGACAAGGCCTGCCGTGCCTGTAGTCGGCAATTCCAGGGATGATTGGAAGATAATTCGGGCACTCTCTGAAGTCTTGGGGAAGAGGCTGCCATATGATTCTGTGAGCGGAGTGCGGCAAAGGCTTGCAGAGGTGGCTCCCCATCTCTCGCGTGTTGACAGTATTGAGCCATCGGTGTGGCTGAATGGAGATGCGCTTGCGCACTATCATGCTTCTGCTCTTGCGGATACGCCCTTTGAAAAAGTGGTTGATAACTTCTATATGACGGACCCGATCAGTCGTGCATCGCAGACCATGGCCAAGTGCACTGCCGCTCGGAAGAAGGAGGTCGCGGAGGGGCGGTTACCTCATCTCTGAGGAAGTAAGTCTTTGGACTCCAGCTTGAGCTTGTGTACGCAGTCCAGTTGTCCGAACGAACGATCGTTGCTGTGGAAAGAGGTGCTGCTGTTGTCTGTGCTGTGCAGTTGCTGTGCTCGATTGTCTCCACCTTAATCACCTCCCTAGATTGCTGGACCCGATTTCCAGCAGGTGCAGCTCCCCACCAATCGATGGAGCCTTCAACGCTGGGCCCCACTTAACGGGGCTGCTGTTCAAAAAAAAAAAAAAAAAAAAAAAAAAAAAAACAGTACGCTCGGCATGGGGGGATGCACCCCAGCACGTTCATGGGGTGCAGAAACGAACGGATTAGTTACGATCTTGCTCGAGACCTGTGGAATGCGATGATGTCGAAATGTGGCAAGAGTTGAGTGAATTCCATCTCTTGGGTGCTAGGGTGGCTCCATGTTAGGGAAACTGAAAAAATAGGGTTTCTACTGGTGCTGCCGAGATGAGCAGAAAGTGGTGGGTGGATTGCCTCCATCATGTATGGGTGGGGATAAGAAATGAAACAGGAATGCAGAGGTGCCCTTAAACTAGGTCATGTTTACCAAGTCTATTTGATGTATAGTATCATGTTTTCTTAAATGACTGACTGATAGAAGCCTTCCCATGTTGTTGTAGTCTGGCAGTTGGCTTTCGTTGTTTTAGTTCCTTTACTCCCGGGAACTCCGGATCCTCCTTCTTGGTTGCTTGTTTACTGCGATTATGATGATGATGATGATGATGCTGATGATGACGATGACGATCCGTTATATCTTCGTGGGTGCCCATGGGAAGGTAGTGAGGGGAATTCTTGTTGCATGAGTGTTTGCTTGTGTTTGTTTCATGTTGCAGATTAGAGGGGAAATAGGCCGAGGACTGGGAGGGGAAGAGATGGACACAGTGGCATTGAGGGACTGTGTGATAGCGAGAAACAGCTGGACGAAGGGAGATGGTGGGATAGAGCTTGGTTGTTGTCAAGAGAAGCGTGGAGGAAAAGGGAGGGGGGGGGGAGGTTGATATGGAAGACATTTGATGTCCCAGCAGGGGGTAGTACATGCGGTATAGCTGGGGTTCTCTCCATCGCTTATCACCAAAAGTTGTAGCCTATTATGCAGAGGATGAACATGCAAGGTGCCACTGGTGGTGATGTCCTGGTCAGATAAGAGAAACTGGTGTTAGGCTTGGGTGGGTTCAGAGAAAGGGGCAACGTACGTGTGCAGCAACTTTGACTTTGTCGCTAGTGACTCATAACGAGGCTGTTGTGTAGAGATTGCTTCACAAAAAAAAAAACAAAAAAAAAAAACAGGTCAGTAAGAGATTAGGCAAGAAGGGTAATTCAGGATTATAATGAACTCCAGAAGAATCAAGAGGACCAGACTCACTGTTATTCTATCAGGGGGCTATGCCTCACACCCTGTTTTGTCAACTAGGCCCTTCCTTCTATAAATGGTCGCGAGTCATCTCGTAGGGAGGATGAGTGGGTTGCTGTCTGATCAGGGGGGCAAGTTGGTGGGAAATGCTCCTCGGTTGAAGGATGAGACTGACATTTTTTTTGGGGGGGGGGGTTGTCCATAGGCTTATAGCAGCCAAGTCATCTTACAGCAGGGAGGTGCAACAAATGCAGGTGGGGAAGGAGCAATTACTTGCTCCCACATTAGAAGAACAGGCGATTCAGGAGACTGTTCAATCAGATGCAGTTGTTCACATGTAAGGAAAGAATGTCCAGAATGCCCAGAATGTTCAGAATGACCAGATTCAGGATTTAGAAATGAAGGAAGGAGAGGAGGAGATTCTCGCAGAAGAAGAAAGAACAATTGAACAAAAATCACATGGGAGGCAAGCTTTGACAGCAGGATCCAACCAAAATGCAGCATCACCATCTTCATCTTCATCCCACAGTTCTTCTCAACCATCTTGGGCGCAAGAAGTCAGGGCCTCTCTTGTCGATAAAACGCTCAATATCAAACGCCCTGCAATTGGCCTACCAGGCACCCAAGCAGAAGAACTGAAGGTACCACTACGGAATTTGTCGTCAGCCAGGGCCTACTTCCTCTCTCTCTTCCGCCTCCCCTCAGAACAGTTGGTCTCTGAGCAAGGGAGGAAGACGCTGATGAAGTCTCATCCTACAGACAAGTTGGCTCAGAGGGATGTGATTTATATTAAGCACGCGAGCAATTGGATATTTTATGATGACTGTGCTCACAAGTCAGTTGATGATAAACTCAAATGGATTTGTAAATGAAGGATAGCTCAGAGGCGGTGTCTGATTTTTTTATAATACAGTCAGTCTCTCCAACAATGTTTATAGTCCTCTGCTTATTTGAACAGGACAAAAAGCAGATCGATGGCTGGAAGAAGCTATTTTGGGAGAGATCGGAGGTCATAATATACCCATGGCTTCCCAAGAAGGTAGGGCCGAAAGAAAAGAGGGAACAATTGATGAGAGATTTTTACTGGGTGCAATTCAGGCACATTCCTATCGAGGTGCAATCGGTGTTTATCCATGATTTTGGACAACAGTTTAAAATTGTGGATTCCATTGACCCGCTCCCCACTTACGTCACCAAGAGAGATGATCGTCTAGTGTTAGCCTTGGACTTGCCCAAAGATCAGTTATTCTCTTTGGATGATATTGTCTCATTAAAGATGGGAGGTTGGCCCACAAATTCTGCCCTTGGTGTTTTAAGTGTAAAGCTTATGGGCACCTCAACATGGAATTTGCTTGCCCGATGCACCCGCTGCATGCTTCTCCACAAGGACCCAGACGCAAACGGGATCCACAGCGTCCGCACAGGTGAGTTCCAGCGGTTCAGGGGTATGAAGGGTGGATGTTCAGTGATGAGTTGAATCAAGCTGGTCAGCAGATAGGCTGGTTTTGGGAAGGGAGGGGGGTATATTTGCGTAAGGTATCACGACCACCTGCAGACTGGGTTCCACCCATGTCCCCTCAGCAAGGCTCACAAGCTTTGAAGGTTGGACAACCAAAGGTTATGTAGGGTGCACAAAGTGCCGCCCCCCAGCAGGTAGCGCGTCCCAATCCGGGGCAATTGCCCCAAGCCCACCTTTCGGGGAAGTGGGGACCAAGGTTGGGTCCCTCCGCTGATGTAGCAACTTCTGGATCCCCAGGTGGAGAGGGTGATAGACAAAAACAGGTGGCTAATCCCAGTACACAAGAACAACAACAAGAGACACAGTCTACGGAAAGGGTAAGAGGGCTGCTGTCAGTAGCTCAAGGAATATAGGGCCATCGACAGCAACATACTTACATCCCATTGGCTCACATCCAGGTAAAGAATGGAAAGAAGTCTGGCGCCAAAGGAAGTCGAAATGAAAAAAGGGACTTCAATTATGCAAATCAGTCTACACTATCTTCACAATCTGCACAATTTGCACAGTCAGCACAAATGGAACAGGTGTTGCAAACTGCAAACGAATTTGCTCATTTGGCACAAGTGGAACAGATGGAGTAACAGCTGTCTCTTATACACATCTAGATGTGTATAAGAGACAGGCCTTTGGTATCGAACCCATGGATGGAGTAACAGGGAGAAATGAAAAGTCTGCATATAGAAGCCAGAGGTGTTTGTTATGCCAAAGACCAGAATGAGGAGGGAACAGCAAAGAGTTATGACCCCATGGACATAGACCCCTTCAGGTATGCCTTTGGTATCGAACCCATGGAGGTTGAGCAGGCTGTAGCACCCCAGCCATCGCTGGTAGTTGCTAGCAAAAAAAACAAGCACACTGGCTGTTGGCCAATATGAAGCTCAATTATGCAGGTCCGTCGGGCTCATGCTGGGATGGGTAGCGCCATCCTGTAACCTTAGCTGTGAGGGGAGCCAGATGTGCAGATTCGCTTAGCTGCTGTGGAAACACCCGTTAACCGCCGGGTGAGCCCGTGTGGTGGACGAGAGGGAGTACCAGTGGTAATGATTTGTGCTGATTGGCGAGAGCAAGGTGTGTGAGAATTACCCTGTCCGTGTGGTGTTGTGTGTGGTGTGTGTTGAGTTGGACACTACAGCCTTGCAGGGGTGGGGTGGATATCATGACCGGTATGGTTCCACTTTTGAACAACGTGTCCTGGCTGTACTGGTTAAGATACCTGGCTCTTGAGGCCGAATGTCGCCGGTTCGAATCCGTGCTTGCACGGTGGAGGACGTAGGGCTCATGCTGGGATGGGTAGCGCCATCCTGTAACCTCAGCTGTAAGGGGAGCTCGATGTGCAGATTCACTTAGCTGCTGTCGGATACTGTCTGGCCCCAGGTTTATAGGTAACCAATTCCCATGCTTGAAAGCAGCCCTAGTCTCAAGCTAGTGATGGAACAAGGACCCAAGCAAGGCATGAATTGGGATGATATTTGTAACCGTCTTCTGCATATTGTTTCAACTCGGTTCCATCCACCCAATGGAACTGGTCTCAATCATTTTTTGAGGGAAAGGGGGGGATTTCAAATGTCAGGCTTGCAAGGCACAGCTACGTCTGGAATGACAGGGACTCATTATGGGGGGGAAACCAATGAGGAAGGAAAGCAGGATGTTCAAGATTATCAGGAAGATCAGGATCAGTCCACTGCGGACTTATGGTTGACTGAAGGGGCCTTAGAAAGGTTGGGTTCACCCAAGGCTGGAACATCTCTGAATGAAGAAATAGCAGGGAGTGAGTGGCAAATCGATAACAAAGAAACAGAAAGACCTGCTGACCTTAATGAACCAGAGAGACCCTACGAGGGGAATCCAAAGCCTATCACAGATCATAAAGAGATTATGCAGTTTGCAGTGGTTACTTATGAACTACCTGGAGAGAAGAAATTCATGCTGATCATCATTGACGGGACTGTTATAGGTATGAATAGTACTATTAATCAACAAAAGGGAAATGCAAAGTGGTTGGAGGTGGTGGGACTGGATGCAAAAAGTCGGACTCAAGATATGTACAATAAATCAAATATCCATATTGATAATTATAATAATCTAATTATGTTATAAGTACAATATCAATTTCAATTGACCCAACCTGTTCACCAGATTGTATCAAACAAACCGGTTACAAGACTGGAACAAACTAACATTTATAGTGGGGATAAAAGCCCCCAATGCTTGGAGGGAGAATTGATGACTGAGCAACAAACACAGGTGTTACAGGTTGGGCCGGCACTACAGATGAGTGATTTTAAAAGTAAGATGGACGTAGCTACTAACCAAGATCAGAGTAAGGTTCTGCTACAGCTGCCCTCTCAAGCAGAGGGATAGGTGGTGGACCTAAGTGATGAATTGTACACGCCTGATTGATTAGTAGAAGGGGATTCCACGAAAATGGATGATAATGCAGGTAACTGAGTTGACAAGTAAGAGGCAGAAATTAAGACACAGATTGTCAATGGGACAGGGGGAGATGACTCCTACTAAAACTGGTATTTTAATTCTGTCGGTGAGGAGGAGAGAGGATATTTGGGAGGTGGGGTTGTCGGAGCGTTCGGGGCTGCGGTATACGGAGAGATTACTGTTCTTGGTACTTCCTCGTTTGTCCTCTCCCTCTCTACTGAGATAGGTTGGCAGGCAGGGGAAGCTCTGATTCAACAAGAGATTACCAGATTCATCACACATGACTGTTTACCTAACGGAGTGACATCTATTCTCACGCTCGTCACAAAATCACAAAAGGTTGCGGAGAGGGATGTATACGGAGAGGGATGTATACATGAAATAAAGTAATAAACAGTGGTGGGTCAGCAACCGGTCGGTTGGACCAGTCGGAATGCAACCGGGCCGGTTGGACTCAGGTCCTCGAACCGGAATTCCGGTTGGGCCAAAAAATGGTCTAATTTTATTATTCTGATTTTTTCTTAAATAGGGGTTCGACTGCACTCAGAATCTGCAAAGAAATCCGTGATCTGAATATTTTTTTTTCTGGTGATGGTTGGGGGGGCGGGTCCGGTTGGGGGGGGATTGGACGGGTTATGGAGTGGGTAGAAGGAGAAAATGAAGACGAATCTGATGAAGACTATGGCTGTCTATGGGAGAGATGGGGGAAGAAGGAGGAACTAAAACGAAGTCTATGGCTGCCTTCAAGAAGAACTAGGAAAAAAAGAAACGTGGCTATGGCTGCCTATGGGAGAGATGGGGGAAGTAGGAGGAGGACAAAGTGAAGAAGAAGAAGAAGAAGAAGAAGATGCTGAGGAGGAGAAGAAGAAGACACTGACGAGGAGAAAAAGAGTGGGGGACTGTTCGACATTTTCTTCTGAAAAAAGAAAAAAAAAAGTGGAGCGGAGGAGGAAACAATAAGAAGATGAGAGGATGACTCAGGAAACGATAAGAAGAGGAGAGGAGGACGGCGACGAAGAGCATGAGGGGGAAGAGAAGAAGAGGAGAATGCGGAGGAGTACGCGAACATGACGATGATGATGATGAATAGTAGAGGAGGAAGAAATTGTGGAGGAGTAAAAGAAGAAGAAGAAGAAGAAAGAGGAGTACGATCAAATGCCGATGATAATGATGATGGTGAATAGGAGAGGAGGAAATACTTCGAGGAAGTTGTGGAGTAGAAGAAGAAGAAGGAGAGGTGGAGGAGTACGAGAACATGATATGATGATGATGATGAATAGGAGAGGACGAAGAAGTTTGTGGACTAGCAGTAGTAGTAGTAGTAGTAGTAGTAGAAGAAGAAGAGGAGGAGGAGGACGAGGAGGGAGGAGGAGCAGGAGGAGGAGGAGGAGGAGATGACAATGCTGAGGAAGAATACAAAAGGATGAAGTAGTGGCGGGTAGAGGAGAGGAGGCTTGCATNTCTCTCTCTCTCTCTCTCTCTCTCTCTCTCTCTCTCTCTCTCTCTCTCTCTCTCTCTCTCTCTCTCTCTCTCTCTCTCTCTCTCAACACACACACGCACACACTTGGAGTCCTGATGGCGGCTGATAGTCCTTCAGCACAGGCAACATCATGACGACGACGGCAGGTTGGCACAACGCGTTG